TTGTCATTTAGCAGACGCTTTTGTCCAAAGCGACTAACTAATGAGGACAATAGAAGCAATCAAAACCAACAAAAGAGCAGTAATATGCAAGTGTTATATTAGTATATTATTATAGTGTTATATTTCAATTTCACAAAGAAACGTACAGTATTTTGTCCAAGCAATAATAAAAGGACACATTTAATTTATAATTTGTCTTAAATCTCATTTTGTTAAAAAAAAAAAATCGTGAATCGAATCGTGAGTTGAGTGAATCGTTACATCCCTATAATATAGTATCTTTAGTGTCATTTAATTGTACTACTTTACGTTATTTGATATACACTTTTATACTTCTTGAAGTACAGTTAGAATATATTTTAAGCCTCACTTTAATATTCTTCAAGAACATTTTCAATAGCATTTCAGCTCATTAGAAAGGCATTACTAGTACATTATTAGTTTGTTATAAAGCTATTTTTCAGCATTCTAAAATGGAATGTTAAAAAGTACAAAAATCATTAAATTAACATGACACACATGTACTGTACACACACTTTCACATGTAGAAAACTTTAATGTACTATATCTTGTGTACATTACAACGATACATTCCATGAGTACATTTAGTACAGCAGCATATATAAACTCTTGACCAAAATAATTGTAATAAATTATAATAAATTCAAATAAATCAGTGGGATGCTATAACATTAGTACTTCAATCAATTTGTAGAGCATTTCTGCTATACCTGTATTACTGGAAAGTACACTGTGAATATTCAGTCATTGAATAGAAATGATTCACAATGCAGTTTTCTGCACACACACATAAAGAAGTTACTGAAAAACAAAGCGCAGAAGTGAATCAAGTGCATTTTTTTCTTTTTATCAGTAACAGTACAATGTACACTACATGTATCTTCATCTGTCTGTGTCTGCTTCGACTTAGCAGATGAACCTTTTAAGCACCATTTAAGTAAGTTATTCTCGGGAGACGGGAGCTGGCCGGGTTTTCTGGTCAGGAAAATAAAATCAAGAGAAACTGGGATGATTTCTGTGGAAAACATGTTACCGTTTCATCAGCATTCAGCAGTGTGATTGGACCATTACCTGCAAAGCCGATTTGAAAAGCTCGGCTCTGATTGGTCAGATTGAATGTAGCTACTGTGCTTAAAAAAAACAGAACTTAATTAACAGAAATGAAATACTTACCTAGAGTCACAAAAGAAACCTTGAGGTTCCAAATCTACACACGTAGACACTTTTAGAAGCTGGGGAAAATCAATATATAAAAATTAATGCTCTATTTAATTTAACAGTTCACCTAGTGAACAGTTAAAAAAAAAAAATCTAAATTCTGTAATCAAGTACTCACCTTCATCTTATTTTATATTTTAATGAGATCTGACAGATTTTTGTCCCTCCGCTGAAAGTCACCAAAAATGCTCATGTTTCAAAAAGTTCATCGCAGACAAAAACATCACAAAAAGAATCCATATGAACCGAGTGGTTTCTTCCAAGTCCGTGTTACGCAAGCACACCTGAGCTTCCACAAAAGCCAGTGAGGTTTGTTCTCGTGCATCACATGGTAAGTTGATCTTGTTTGAATTTAGGTACATAAACAAGTAAATAGATAGGGATATTAAGCCTATCTTTGGAAAAATGATTTATGATGCACTATGAATGATATGATGTTGAAATGCTTGTGGAAAGTACAGTTAATAGCCTATTGCATTAATGCATTTAAAAGTGAAATTGAAATGTATTTGAATTAGATTACAAAATATAACAACATACTGATTTTAAGTATGCTTATTACTAAGGCATAGTTGACAAAATTATATTTATAATACATTACAAGTTGGTACAATGTAAGAATGCATTTGCCTATTTTATAGACCTATAGTGTATTTATGTGTGAGTGAATTAACATACTTTATAGAATATATTAAAATGTAAACAATTTTTTGCAATGTCTTGCTTTGAAAAGTAGGCTGAAACCCATGTTCATTACATAAATATTTAAAAAAAAATATTGCAGTATGTGTACATATAAATAATATACGTAAACCCACTAAAAGCTGTATAATTTTACTACGTTCTTACACAAAGTAAATATAAAATATATTTTAAGTAAGATTACAATAAGTATGTTTTCTGTAAATACACTAAAATATCACAAAAAGTATACTTGTGTTTTAGCATATCTTTTAAAAGCATAGCATTTCACACAAGTTAAAATCCACCTCAAGTGTACGTAAAAACTTTTTTGCGAATTAAGGGATTTTTAAATTATTATTATTTGGCGTTTCCATCATTTGTTTCTGAAGCAATACTTCAACATGTGCATAAAAACAGGGTGATGGAAATATAGCAATTCTTGAGAGATGCACAGACTCGGGTAATTGACTCTCTCGCTCTCTCTCTCTCTCTCAAATAACTGCATTATTCTGCATATCAATAGCTCAAGCCTCTTTTATTTGCTCTAAAATGACATTTTGAATTAGCAACGAGAGTAATGAAACATCTTCCTCTGTTCTCAAAAGAGTGAAGAAACTACATTCAATCTTCAGCGACTGAATGCAAGCTGAACAACTTGTCGCTTATTGCGATAGAGAAAACTATATGTTTTGGGGTGGTAATATTATATATTAATAGGGAACGGGGGGTGGGGTTGCTTTTGCCTAAGTCACAATAAGATGTAAATCCGGCTCTGACCTGATATCTTTCTCTTAAAAAAAAACAGCTATACACATGCTGAAAGCAAGAGTAGTTTCTACTGCATTTAGTTTAAAAATCTGGAAACATTTTTACAGCACTTTGATTTTGAATTCAACAACTATCTGACATAAAAGTTCTGTTCGTTGACAAACAAATATCTAATTCTTCCAAGCAGCAAAGCCATGAATCTCAGCAGTCGTGGAAAACGTCTCATCTGCTGCTGACATGAGGAGCTCACGCAGTGATCTGTTTTAATGAATGTCTATTTGTGAAGCTCTTGTTCTTGTAAAGTTCATCCTGTGCTTCATATTCTGTTCATCTGATGGCAGCGTAAGTCACTGTGTCATTATGATCCTGAAAGAACAGCACAGAGTTTCTCCATCAGTGTTTGAACCGCAGCCACATGTTGTTAGAGCTTCATTTATCTGAGATTCAGATTCAGAACTACATCTCAGCAGCGTATAGATGAGAGAAGCTGCTGTGGTTTTCTCTAAAGCAGTCAGTGATGAAGAACAAGCGAATGAGCTGCTATCTACTCACACTGAGCGATTTTACTGGCTTCTTACTGGAAGAAGAGACTTCAGAGTAAGTCACATCATCCGTCTGCTCCTAAACATTTAACACACAGAACAGACATATCTGTCACTGTAATATGTCAAATAACACTGACACTTTCAGTCAATCACATTATAGAACAGACAGTGAACTGAATATCTAATGGTTTATTTGACTCACATGGTCTCTCGCAGCAGCAGGAATGGACATGTTGATCGTCTCATACGTCACTTTATCTTCATTCTCATCTTTGACCTTCAGACAACAAACAGTTAAAACTGCATGAATGACACTTTATTGAGCTTTAAAGACATAAGTCATATCTAAATCACCGGCATTACTGAACTCACCACCGATTCATCAGTTCCTCTTTTATTATCTGAAAAAAAAATAAAAATCAATCACTCCTCATGTAATATGATGATGAAACACACATGCAAAACACAGAATGTTAACAATGATAATAATGTTCAGATTTCACAAGAGACGAGATTTTGTTGAATCATTAAAATGAA